TCAAGACTGCTAGTTGCCACTTAATTTCTTCATAATATGGCTCTCTGGTGTTGCATCAGTGAAAATGCTACCTACAAATGCATGAGTACCCCAGATGCTATGACGAATCACTTTACAGCAGCCAAGATCATCAACAGAGAATCCTAAATGACGATAGCATTCATCAGTTTCAAAAAGTGTGCTGTTGGTATATGGTCCAAAAAATGCCAAACCAGATGATGGGTCAATAAAGTCCGCCCAATAGCCTTCAGCTCGAAGAGCATAGCAAATTTCCTTAGCACCATTAATGAACTTTTCTAAAAGCATTTCTATCTCATTTTCTACTTTCTCACTCCAAATAGTCATATCATAGTTAGTTTTCTGGGTTACAGTCAAAACCATTAATTTGTTGGTTGTTACTTCTGGAAACAGTGATTCAAAATCTCTTCTCAGCAATTCTGGACATGTTTGGATGGCACACTCTACTTTAGCACTTTCAAAGTAAGTTTCTGCACTATTAACTTCTTGTTCAAGAGGTGTATCATTACCCTGAAATTCATTAACATACTGTGCCATCACAAACTCATGTCTTTCACTCGATAAAGGTTCTGCCAGGACATCAGGCAATGTTTTATAAGCCTGGCTTTTCCTCTGTGAAGATGTCCCATTAAGGTGGCAATCAAAGCCCATGTTCCCAGAAAGTTGGAACCCCTGATCCTGTGGTCCAAATGGTCCCATAGTTTCATCAGGCCAGATTGTTCGAGAGCAGATATCTGGTGGTGCAGTGGCTACATGAGACTCATCAGAACCTGAAGATCCTACAGTTGAAAAGGCTCTCGGACTGACAACCCTTTTAACTAAAGAGCAAAATCCTGGGAGGTAGGAGACCAGTCTGGCTCTGTTACAGAGCACATTGGCCATTTCAGGCGGAGAGGGCGGACGTTTTCCTTTTAAGTTATCGTCACCACCGCAGCCTTCCGCAGCCCCACACCCGAGCTCTTCCCGTCGCCAAAATGGCGGCCGGATTGCACTCTTGAGTTGCCTTCTTAAGAGAAAGAGACACAATGGCATTCTACTGCTGAAGAGGCAGGAGAAAAAGCCTGGCAGGCTGCTAGAGATGTGCCAGTCATGACAGTCAAAACCAAATTAATGTGTTCAAGGAGATGATGAAGAAATCAGCAAACCTCTTTCCAACTTTTACTCACTTTCTAAAGATTAGAAATCTGTGATTCTCTAGACAAATATTTTCAGTAAAAAGTCCTTTTGGAAAATGTCTACTCCAGCTGTACAAAAAAAATTTTTTTTTAAAAAAATAAGAGGTCTTAAGAATAATTACAAAGAACACAGGTCCAAAGTGATACAGTGGAAATAAAAATGAGAAAAATCTAGAAGAATGGAAAAACAATACTTCCTTTTCATCTGAAAAATATCCTTCAGAAATATTCTCCACTTGCAATTCGGACAAGACTGTGTGCTAACAAAGCAACACAATACCTGTGTGGTGACTTCAGGCTCAGTGTAAGTGACCAATAAATACTTGCATCAGAAGCCTTCTGCCTAGCACATTTATAACTGAATCTAGCACAGTCACATCCAGAAAACACATCATTTTAAGAAATGAAGAGTTTTAACAAAAGAAAACACAAAACTACAGATCACTTAAAGTGTGAACATCTAGGAACACAGCTTGGCGATTCCTCAAAATGTTAAATATGGTTAAACAAAGTTTAAACCACATGACACAGAAATATCCAAGAAAAGTCAAAGCAGAAATACAAATTTGTACACCAGTGTTCACGGGAGCATTATTCACAAGAGTCAAACACCTAAATGCCATCAACAGTGAAACTGATGAGTTACAAAGTAAAATGAAGTGCTGACACACTGTAACATAAATGACTCTAGAAATGGCTGAAACAAGTCAGTTACAAAAGGGCAAATATTATATAATCCAACTTATATGAAACAGGCAACTAACTATACAAAGGCCAAAATTAATAACTACCAGCAGATGGAGAGAAGAGAACTTGAGGTGCTTGCTGCAGAAGATCACAATCTACAGCTTTCAATATGGATTACACTGCAACATCAAGAAAACAAAAATCTTCACCACTGGGCCAACAGGCAATATCATGATGATGTTATTGTTGTCATGTGCCTGTGACTCATAGCAACCCTATGTACAACAGCCCTAAACCTTGCTCTATCCTGTACCAATCTTACTGTCTCTGACACAGCTACCCCCATTACCCCAGTCACGAATCAATCCACCTCATAGAGGGTCTTCCTCCCCTGCACTGTCCCTTCCACCCTCCCAAGCATGACATCTTTCTCCAAGGATTGGTCCCTCCTTGCAACATGTCAAAAATATGTCAGATGAAGCTTCAGTACCCTTGCCTCCAAGAAGCAGCCTAGTTTAACCCTCTCCAGGATGAACCTGTTCGTTTTCTTAGCAGTTCATGGTATATTCTTCTCCAACACCACAGCTCAAAGGCATCAATTCTCCTTCTATCCTCTCTAGTCATTGTCCAACTCTCTGACACACACCTATACTTGGACCAGGAGGCAGTCATCAGAACAGAGCAAGGAAACACCGCATGGTTCAAAATTGGGAAAGGTGTACACCGGGGATGTGTGCTATCTCCTTATCTTTTCAACCTATATGCAGAACAGATTATCCAGCAGGCAGGGCTGTATGAGAAGTGTGGCATCAGGACTGGTGGAAGATTCATCAACAATCTGCGTTAAGCAGATGATACAGCCTTGCTTGCTGAAACTGAAGAGGACCTGAAGCACTTGCTGCAGAAGGTCAAGGACTGCAACCTTCAATATGGATTGTGCCTCAATATCAAGAAGACAAATATTCTCACTACTGGGCCAACTGGCAGCATCAGGTAGGGTGGTGAAGAGATTGCGATTAACAGCTTTAGTTTGCTTGCTTCCACAGTCAATACTCTTGGCACCAGCAGCCAGGAAATTAAGAGACATAGTGCGATGAGAAAGTTTGCTGTTAGGCACCTCTCCAAAGTACTGGAGAGCAATGGTGTCACTCTGGAGACTAAAGTGCGCCTAATACAGGCCAGGGTCTTTGCAATCAATTGCTAAGCATAAAAAAAATCATGACAGATGGAGAAAAAAATTGAAATATTCAACAATTTCAGCTTACCTGGATCTAAATCAGTACTCTTGGAACCAGCAGTCAGGAGATCAAGAAATGTATGGCACTGAAAAAATCTGTTATCAGAGACCTCTCCAAACTTCTGAAGAATAATTATGTCAGTTTAAAGACTAAAAAGCACCTGATTCAAGCCATGGTCTCCCTAATCACCTACGATGAGTTGGTTCTGACTTAACAACAATTGCACATAACAATAACTTGCATTTTGTAGATGACACAATTTTACTTGTAGAAAGTGAAGAGGACTTGAAGCACTTGCTGTGGAAGGTCAAAATATGGATTACATTTCAAAATCAAGAAAACAAAAATTCTCACCCCTGGATCAATTGGCAATATATCACAATAGATGGAGAAAATACTGAGGTTATCAACAACTTTATTTTATTTGGATCAACAATCAACGTGGTAGTTGCTGTTAGGGGTCATCAAGTCAACTATGATACACAGCAACTCTACAAACAAACAAATCTAAACTTTGCCCTATCCTGTACAATCTTCATCATCTCAGATATATTTGAGCCCACTGATACAGTCATTGTATCAAATCTTCTTGTTGAGGGTCTTCCTCTCCTTCACTGACCCTCAACCTTTCCAAGTATCATGACTTTTTCTAAGGACTGGCTCT